AATTAGCTAGAATTCATGTAACCATTATTTTTCAATACAGCAGATTTCATGCTTTGACCCGAGAAATTTCATCTGAGCAGGAGTCCTCTTTTAAAAAAAATTAAAAGGTATCAGCCATGACTGAAAGTGTTTGCTCTGCAATCTTCACTGGAAGAACCAAACGCTAATGTTTCCCTTATAGCACTGACTGTGCAGAATAACAGGAGATTGTGAACCACTCCAAATTATTTTGTGTCACAGATTTACTTCCTTACTTTTCAGTCACAATATGTTGAAGTCATTAACAACACAAAAGAAATGAGCTCTGATTTAGTAGTGGACTTTGCCATTTCTTTCCTTTCCCCACATGCTTTAGTTTATGTGGCGATGAAATCTGCTTTGCAATTCTTCAAAAGTTCTCTTCGATTCATAAAGAGGCTTCTGTTTTTCTACCTTATTCACAGGGTGCTTGAAAATTTCTCTCAAATTTATCTGGGTGTTTTTAACCTGACTTTATTACTTGGAGAAGTGATGACTATTACTCTCAACATTCTTATTTTCTGCTACACATCTTTCCATCAGCAAGCAAGCAAGCGCAGCAGCAGCAGAGGAAGAAGAAGAGGAAGAGGAAGCTGCTGCTGCTGGAAAAATGATGATCATTTATCTCCTGTGCAGAAGCCCATCAAATTTTTGGTTGCATTCCATTTACCTATAGATGAGGCATTTGTTTTCTGAACTACGATTCAGCTACATAATTTAAACAAATTCCCTCAAAAAGCACATTGTGCTCAATTTGTCCACAAACACCCTAATGCACTAGATGGTTTTGTTCTGCCTGTATCTTTATCCATGATATACAAAGAAATATAATTACTAAGACTTAGATCCAGCCTCAGAAATAACTTTAAATATCTCGATTTCAGTAGATCAAACTTTCCATTTTCCCATCTTTTTAATGCCTATTTTTATCTTCATTCCAACATAAAATCCCATGTTAAAAAGAAAGAAAGAAAAGGTTTTGGTTATTGTTCAGATGTAGAACTCCTGTCATCACTCTGAAGCATAATGTTTTCAAGTACTGTTACAGAACTTGGTCAGATTGTGCAAAGAATAACCTAATGCTGTATATTTTCATGGATCCTTTGACACTTGAAGCCAGGGTGTGCACACACGAGAAGACAAGCACATTCAAAGCAATTTGGACAGTGGAAGTAAACGGGCATAAAGAGGATTTATTCGCTATGCTGCTTTCTTCCGTAACTGCTAACCCTAAAACAGAATTTGGAAACATTTGGTTGAGTTGCAACCGTAACTGGCCTACAGAGTTTCAGCAGAGGCCCCCCACTCTCCCTAAAGTCTCTCAACCAGAAGTCACTCAGAATAAGAGGAATTAATGAATTCAATGCAGCAGATTTCATGCTTTGACTCTAGAAATTTCATTTGAGCAGAACTCTTCTTTTTAAAAAAATTAAGAAGACTCAGTAACAGGCATGACTGATAGTGCTAGTTCTGCAACCTTAAATATATCAGCCGTCACTGGAAGAACCAAAAGCGAATGTTTCCCTTATAGCACTGACGCTGCAGAATAACAGGAGATGGCGATTTCTTGTTGCATCCTGCATAGACCATTCTATTCCCTTCAGAAGGAAGTGGGGAGAAGCATTCCCCTATACAGGAAAATATGCTCCGTGGAAGAAGAGGCAGGGAATAACCATTTGCCTCTTTCTAGGCAGGGGAAAGTGGAAAGCAATTATTCCTTTTCTCTTACTGCACAGAGAAAGTCCGCTGTATTTGAGTGGAGGCAGGGAACAGTCCTCTAATCATGACAAAATAATTAGCCCTGGGTAGGCCATATGCCGAACATACAAAAGATTATGTTCAAAGTGCCCAGAAGGTTTATAATCTTCATCACACAGACATCAGGAGTTAGAAAATGATCCCTGCTTAATAGGAAATTAATAGCAAATATTGAAATATAAGAAAGGATTGCAGGGGAAAACAAGGTTCCAGTCCACCTTCCAAGACTGATTGGATGAAAGCAATACTTAGAACACAAAACAGAAGAGATAGACTTACTGATGAACAGAATTTCCGCTTAGAACATGGCTTTGCACTGAAGTCACACAAAGACACGATTAGTCTAGTGATGGGCTAATTAAGACAACTTATTTTGCTGGCTATAGCGAGGTCTGTTCCAACCACATGGGGCAGCATGGGGTAAGACATGGAGATGTGATGGGAGAAGGAGAAAAAAGAAAGTCACCATTATTTAGCTTGCAAACAAATAAGTTCCTTTTTCATTGTGGAGAAATTAAACCTAGGTTGTCATAAAAATTATATAATATAGATGGGTTGTAGCGTTTTATAGTAATACAAGGTGTGGGTAAACCACTAAACTATTTTTCTATTTTCTATTTCTGATTGTACCCTAAATCAGAAATACAGAACTAATGAAGGGCAGAAAATCTCAGTAGACAGTCATTCCACTGACTGCTGTTTTCTAAATGTAAAATATTCTACCCTAATTTCTAGCATTCCTTTATTCACACAATGAAAAAAAATAAACCAATTAACTCTTGATACTTCACCGCCAATATAAACCTTCAAATTAATGCTACCTACGTCCAGATTGGATATTCAAAATGAAGGATTCTGCATTTCCTTGCTTGAGGACGCTATGTTGTTTACCATGTTAATGGGAACCGTGTTTTCAATGACTATATATATTGGATAGCTTCCTATTAAAACAGACATCAGTTACTGTATCTTTGCGGGAAGTCATGGAAATGTCTTTTCATTTAGCGAATGGATTTGAGATCAACTGACTGGGAAATGGTCCAAAAATCAAGCAATTGATGGATGCAATATCTCCTCCAGAAATATACACTGGAAAATGTTTGCTTCATAACAGACTTTATATAAATTATATATGAGAGTCTATTATTTAGACTTCTTAAATTTAAAAAAAATGATCTGATTAGTTGCATATTCTGTATCAACTTCTGAAAGATGTTTGTTACGAAGAGAATTGATGCCTTTGCAGCACTGATTGAATCTAAACGATTTGGTTGTTGCCCATTCAGAAAACTTGTGACTCAGTAGTGTAAGGGTATTCGAGTACATGACAATCATGCAGGTGTCCCACTCCCTTTCAAAAAAATGCATAAGAGAACCTTTTATATCCTGTGAAATCAGAACCCTTCAGTCATTCAAGCCAAATTAATTAAAGATGCAATGATTCTAACCAACTCCTGAGAAGCCAGAATGGAGAAGAAAAGAGGGGGGAAAAGAAGGCAGAAGGGAAAAGACCCTGGGACAATTTTGTGATTTCATGTGCCTATTTTGCGACCTTGAAATAGCCTACTATAGTTATTCACCATATAAAATTTGGAATTATTCTTAAGGCCATTGCTATTATCACTTTTCTGACCAGCATACTTAACAAGTGATCGAGTTACCAATTTCTCTTTTCTGCTTTCTTATCACAAAGATGCCTAAACTATAAGCAAAGAAAGGGCTAATGTAGAATGCCACAAGATTTCACAAAACTTTTTTTAAAACTTACAAGCAGCTGCAGGGCAGTGGGAGATTCTGGACACAAATTGTACCAAGTTTATGGAGATGTTATTTAACCTGCTTAAAAACAAAAACAAAAACTTGAAACCTATTAAGCTACTTAGTGCAATGTTGAGGCATGGGGAGAAGTACTTCTATGGCTGTCCAGATGTCTTGGGCTACAAGACCTATTAGCCCAGTTAGTTCTAGTCAAACACATTGTATCTTCAGGACATCTTAGAGAAACACCAGAGATTTCTGAGACATCATAAGGATTGATGACTTAATTATTCCAAAAAGTCTGTGGATCACAGTTGGTATCTTATACTATATTAAAGTTTAATGTGCCATAAGTCTCTTTGTTGCAAGAGACGAATATGGCTACCCTATGAAAAGGATATTCTGCCCATCTTTATTTCTATGATCAGGCTAGTAGGAGAAGAAAAAGAATGAAAAACTCCTTTTTCCAGCTCTTCTTTCTCATTTCCACAGCTGCTTCTAAGTTTTTGCGGGGAGATCTGGCCACAGGTCTCTGGAGTTACATCTGTTCTGATGCTAAAACTCTGGTTAGGAGCTAGTATTACTGGAGGAGATTGAAAAAGTTCCATCTCACGTCCAATTAATAATTCCTCATGGGAAGGAAGGAATCTCCTACTCCTTGGGGAGTAGGCTTGCTGGTCTCTAATTTGAAATTTACTACTTCCACACTCATCCACAATGGGAATTGCATCAAGTGTTTTATTAATTTATCTTTATTTTAAACACTAGCCCTCCTCCCCCAACGTTGAGTTTAAAGACTACACTGAAAAGTCCTGGCTGTGATCTTCCCAGAGCTAACCTACTATCCCCACTGTGGTTTCATCTGAAACTTTGACATTTTTTCCCCACTTTCTTTTCAAACTTGGTGCGTTTACTCTACAAACAAACAACAAATTGCTGAAAATGACCCTTTGGTGGTCATAACAGTAATACAATCATCTCAATTACTGCTGAAAAAAGGTATCCACAGAGTGCTAGAAAATGGAGAAAGTGCTACCTTTCATGCTACCTTTATTATTATTGTCCAAGACGTATTTCAGAACTAGACCCTCTCTAGAAGCAGCCTACCTCTGAATGATAGGATAGCGAGATACAAATCTTAAATCACCAGATACAGTTACGATTACCTTCTTGAGGAATCTATACATATCTGAGGTTACTGGTAGTTCAGCTGCAAGGAGAAGAGGAAGGAAGGGCATCATTACTTTGAGGGGGGCCCGGATGAGGTACCCCTACCTTCCTGGCCTACCCTTCCCCTCTTCCTTGCCATTTGCCAGGGCCACCTGTCCACGATTCACCATCCAGCTGCGATTACCGCCCACCCCCAAAGCATGGAGCCCTAGACCTGCGCCCTTGGTCCATCCTTGCAGGACCCTCTGGAAGGAAGCAAGAGGGGGGAAGCCAAGGGCAACGTGGATGCGCCTTACCTCGCCTTGCCGGTGATGATGCTTGAGGCCTTTGCCCCCCGGGCCCAAGAGCCGGCCTTTCTTGCCGCTCCCCAGAGGCAGTCCTTGGTGGAAGGGGGCCGACCTGTTGGCCGCCTGCGTCGGCGCCTCGCCCATGAGGGTGGCCTTGATCGCGTTCGCCTTCGTGCCGTCGAGCTGGGAACTCTCCACCACCAAGAGCGCGGCTAGGAAGAGGAGAGGGCGGGAGGAGAACCTGGTCCAGCTCTGCATGATCGTCTCTACCCTCTTCCTAGGCGTCTTCCTTCCCTGGGCTGGGCTGGGCTGGGCTGGGCTGGCGGCGCAGGTTCTGCGAGCCCCAGGCGTCGGCGAGGGAGGCGAGCCCCCCCGGCCGTCGGAGGAGCGCAAGCAAAGGGCAGGGCTCCCAATCAAGGGCTCCGGGGCGGCATGGTGGGCGCCCCGCTCCTCGGCAGGAGAGCCAGTCACGGAGGAAAGGAAGGAGACGGAGACCTGGTCCCGGGCGGGAGGCGGCGGCTGAACCCGGGGAGGAAGCCTCCCACCCGCGAGGCTCCGCTGGGACTTCGAGGGCAGGAAGCAGTCCTGGATCGCTTCCCGCGTCCACGCCGCCTCTTGCCGCGGGACAAACTCAAGCCAGCTCTGCTCCAAACGAGGACTGGCCTGGCGAGCGAGGACTGACAGCTCGCTCGCTCGCTCGCTCTCTCGCTCGCTGTCTAGGAATCCAGTCGGCCTTCCACCTTCCGCTCGCTGGGCCGGGGCATCCCGACAGCCGGCAGATGAAAGGCTTGGACGGAAGATCGGGCGTTCAGCTTGCCAGGCGCGCAGTCTGCCCTCCCATCCTCCTTTCGTCCGCCCGTCCCCGGCAGCCTCCTTCTCCTCTGTTCGTCTTCTGCCCCCTTCGCTTTTATAGCTTCACCGGCGGAGTTCTCTTTTCCTCCGCCCCCCGGAGCCGCGGAGTGACAGGGAGGGGAGCTGACTCATTCCTGAGCCCACTCCTCACCGTCCTCCGTCCCCCTCGGCACCTTCGTTCCCCTCCTCCCTTGCTCTCCGATCTCTTGAAGACTCCTGGCCCTGGAAGTTTGCGTCTCTGCGCAGGGAGTGCCTTCCCTTAAGTCAAAGTCTCCTGCCAAATCTGGAGGATGGTGACTGAGGATGAAAAATGGTGAGGGTCCATGTCTTTGGATCCCGCTCTTTGTCTAATTGATTCAGGATGGCTAGACTTGGTCATCCCAGAACATTGTCTCAGCCTGGTCCAGAACTCTGCCTAACAACAAAAAGTGTGGAAAATTTTGCACATTTAGATCAGGAGGAGCAGGAAGAGAAATAGGAGGAAGTAGGCACTCTCCCTCTGTCACTCGCACACATAAACACAAATTTGTTGCCTGGTTTTCCCTGGAATTTAAAATACTTACTAGCAGTTGCAATCCCATTGAAGTTAATAAAAAAGTGTTTCCATTTAAACTAATTTTGGAAAAAGTCAACGGACTGGTGGAACCCATCCCTAAGTGTTTGTCAATTGTATAGGCTGTAGGCAAACAGACAGGGTGTTACACTTATTCTGACCAGATCTGATTATAAATGTAAGCAATGAAAGGCAGGGGTAATAATCTGCATCACTCCTATACAGCTATTAAAACACGCATGCACACACACACACACACACACACATATCCTTCGAGTCAGTGTTGACTCCTGGCAACTGCCTGGACTAGTCCCTGCAAGATGTTTTGGAAGTGGTTTGCCATTGCCTACTTCCTAGGGCTGGGAAAGAGAGAGGGACTGGCCCAAGGTCATCCACTGGCTTTGTGCCTAAGACAGGACTAGAACTCATGGTCTCCCAGTTTCTAGCCGGATGCCTTAACCACTACATCAAACTGGCTTTCTTAAACATATATAAAAAAGGACAAAGGGAGAAGAATATTTGCTGCAGCAGCTGCCAGTGGAGGTCATAGGATGTGTTGGCTACCATCACAACTGATAATATAAGGTAGTTGGTGCAATCCAGATGTGTACCTACTAAACAAGACCCACATGCTGTTAGCCAAGTGTGCAGTTGTCTAGAAAAGCTTCTCTCGCCATAGTATCTTTCAGCTGCCACCTACCTCTTGTTCTGCACTGGAATATATTGGGGCAGGAAGAGACAGAAAAAAGACTTGGCTGAAATCAAGGTGGTTTGCAATAGATCAACAGTAGGGTCTCAAAATTGAGCAAGATTAGAAATAGGAGAGGGAGAAGAAAGAGTTGTCTAACTGTATTGCTGAAATGAAGCAAGCTGGAAATATCTTGGACTGCAGTTTTGTAAGGAAGAATTGTGACTTCTTGAGTTCAGTTTGGGGCTCAGGACAGATTTCTGGGTTCCTAACACTTTAATTTGTCATGATATTTGATTTGGTTTGCATTATGTTTTGGTGAGTGGAACGTGAATATTCAGGAACTGAATAAACAGAAAATGAAATAACAAATCCTGTATACCTAAACTCTGTCCATTCTAAGGCTTCTGCCAGATGTAACTGCAAATACTTGAACAGAGGCCATACATTTCTTTAAAGCCACCTATCAGAGGATCACAATTTTTCCCTAACTGGTTTTTATTAGTTCTGAAGAAGAAGCAGGAGCTTAATGGTGCTTTTGTCCTTTTCAAATTCGTCTAGAGGAATCTGCCCTTGGTGCCTTCAAATGTTCCTTCTGCATGTGCTCAAAAATGTACCTTTACTCTGGATTACATAAACCATGCTGGGATGCTAAGTTAGGTCCATCAAATAAATAAGGAAAGGTTGTTAATTATTTTTTTCTCCTTCCCTGTATTATGCATTTTCTCCTTTCCCTGTATTTTGGAGTGTTTTTAAAGAGAAGAGTCATGTTTATCCCTTGCAGCAAAAAGCACAGAGCCTTAAAAGGGACGCCTTAATTTGTTATTGCCCATTCAGTGATTCAGTGATAACTGTGTTGGTCTTTGAGAATTCATAAAGCTGTGTCTTTATAATAATTTTACATTTATGGAGTTGAAGAGAAAGTGGAGGAAAGCTTCATGCCCTCCTTGGGCTAAGTAAATAACTAGTGAAAACAGTTCTTGCCATTCTATCCTGGGCTGATCAAAATGAGCACAACAGGGACTGATGCCTCTGGACAGATGTTCCTTCTTTTCAGAGCACAGCAGAGCCCACATTTCATTCACACTTAGATATTATGTCCCATAACTCTTATCATCTTTATCTAGCATATGCCAAAAGTCATGGGTGCAATGGTAGCCAAACATACTACAGGCTTTCAGGGCACAATCACTCATGCCCTTGTTACTTCCTGTTTGGATTACTGCAACATGCTCTACATGGGGCTGCCCTTGAAGAGCACTCAAAAGCTTCAACTGGTGCACAATGTGGCTCCACAGGGAGTAAATGGTGCTGGATATGCGGCATGTGTAACACCACTACTACGGGAGCTGCACTGGTTACCAGTGTGGTTCTGGGTGCAGTTCAGGGTGCTGGTTGTCACTTTTAAAACCCTGCACAGCTTGGGACCGGGTTACCTAAAGGACCATCTTCTCCCTATTGTTTCCACCTATCCAATTCAGTCTAGTCGATTGGACATGCTGCGGATCCCGTCAGCCAAGGAATGTCGGCTGGTGGGGACCAGAAGGTGGCCCTTCTCAGTAGCAGCTCCTGCCTGTGATGGAATGGACTTATGAAGGCCATGCTCAGGGAGATAAGCGTGTTCTTAGCCCCCAGCAGGAGCGTCGGAAGTTCAAGAAGATGAGGCTGGCACCTCCCTAAAGAATTCACGGTGTTGTGGCTGGTTGGCTTGGGAACTTGGGTTCAA